AAAAGAGCGTTTTCTGAGATCAGAAGTTCTGCAAACACCACTGCTAGCTGGCTGAAGGGAAGGGTTCTGCTGCAATATGAGCTCTTGGCAGCCTGAACCACAAGGAATGCATTTGCATCCTACCAGTTGCTTTTTCCCTGGAATGCAGCTTATGAAATCTTTGTCTTAAATTATGTGTATTTTTTTTCCTCCAATTTCTTCTGTTGCATGGATGAACATGAGGAGCAAACCTTGAGTTAGCCCAGTGTGAAAGAGGCAGGGAGCTGTCTCTGCAGGCATTGAAGAGGCCAGTATTAGGAACACTTGGGCTGAATTAAGTGAATTGCACCTTTTCAAACCAAATCAGCTTTTAAAACCCTAATTCAGGCCTTTTCTGTGGAGATGGCCACCATCAACTCCAAATACAGTCAGCAGACTTTGGCTTGGTAGAAAGAGGGATTTATTGCATCTAATTTTCTCTGTCATGAGTCTCCCTACTCTGAACTGGGTACTCAGACCTATATCCCTACGGTATAATTATTTTTAATAATGCTGTCATCATTATTTTTAATAATGCTATCAGTGCATTAGATCCAGACAAACTCTCACAATGTTTGTCAGTTTTCTTGACCAGAAAAGAAAATCTCCTCTTCCAAGGCCAAAGCCCTGATGCCAACAGCCAGCAGCTGCCTCTGAGAACGTGCTGCGCTTTCTTATCTGAGCCCATTGACCAGAAATGGAATAATTCACAAGCACATGGCACCAACCCCTGCTTTTTTCACTGCTATCCCACTGTTATCTTGGAAGGAATGAGGCTGAATGTGTCTCTCAAGTATCAGAGAAGAGCAGAGGAGAACTGTGAGATAGAATTGGTGAAGATCGCATTAGAGATTGAAATGAGAGAGATTTCAGGAGAAATGAGTTCCCTATAGCTGTGCTCACTTGGTGCTGCTGTCCACCCCTGGGCACCCAAAGGGAAAGGTGGAAAGGACAAAATAGGAGCAAAAATTCCCACCCCACCTTCGTGGCTTGAATGTCTTGGGCAGCAAATCACTCATTGTAGGTGATTTCTGTCTGCCTGCATCTAAAACACATGGTGTGTAATAATTCCTGAGTGCTGAGGCCAGGTACGGAGACAGAGCTGACAAAAAGAAAATAAAATAATTACTAGGCCTAATTATCATTAGTGTGCAGATCTAAACCTGCCAGGCACAGGCTTACCAGGGAATTAAGTTCTTAAAAGAAATAGTTTTCATTGATCAGCGAATGCGCTCCCTGCACACATTATTTGCACATTTTATGCTCACAGAATTCCTTAAATACTAATATATTTTATGAGCTGCTGCCAGCTGCAAACTTTAAATTGTCTGTGCTATAAAATGCATAAGAATGGGTTAAAAAAAATAAAATTAAAAACCAATGCAAGCCCTTCAAAGTGAGTGGAAAAGTCACCAGGTGAGCTGGTTAGAGCTGGGGCTCAAATAAGAAGTAGACTAAAAATTTGGTTTTGTGTGAGCATTTCTGGAACTTTTATTTGTTCCTTCTTTATGGGGACAATAAAGAAAAAGAAAAGCCAGCAAGAAAACTACAATTCTTATACAGGAAACAATAATGAACACTGGAGATCCAGCTGGGAGAACAGAGAGATTTTAAATATGAACCAGAGGCTCAGAGCTCCCCAGTGAGTTTCTAACAGAGCAGTTGTGTTGTTTTCTGTGGATTTCCCCACATTCAGAGCTGAGCTTTCTGGGAAATACTTTGGTTATCCTTGATTCCTGTATTAAAAAAGTTACTGGCCAGAATGTTTGGCCAATTAACACCTTATATGACCTTACCACTCTTTGTAGGAAGTAAATTTGTAGCTGACACTGTTATTAACCACAGAAACGAAAAGACCGATGCTCTCTAGCACAGAAACAATTTCCAATCAATTTTGTGTGCAATGGAAAGAACCAAGATAGATTTGATCTTGTGTACTCTTACTTACCAAAGATGGTTTTCTACTGAAGCTCTACAGACCATAACTTTGAGTGTTGAATCTGATTTCCAGAGGCAAAAGCTACTCCTTCAATAATCCACCTGTGAAAAAGGCTCAATCACCATTAATGGCTTCCAGGTTTGGAATAATTCTTTTAACACAACCTCAGTCAAGGCTTAGCTGAATTCAGAATTGTCTTGGCAACCTCTGCCAATGCCAAGGGTTTTGTGGAAGTGTCAGCAGATGTTGGGACACAGCTCTCTATGGAAAACAGAAAAATCCAGGTTTCTTTGAACACACATCAGGGGAAGTTGTCACCCCAGGAATGAGAGGAAAACAGGACCTGCAAGGAAAATCCAGGAATGTGCAGGGGGAAGAGGCAGTGAAGGAGCCACAGCTAGAGAGTTTTGTCCAAGTGTCAGAGCAGGAAATGCTCTGTACAGCACAAGGCTGGCAGGAGATGAGCACACAGCAGCTCAGTTTGTCAAGGGCTCAGAAAAGACGCTGCAAACCTGCTAAGTGAGAGCCTGGGTAGGAGATTTATCTGTTTGAATGGCTACAAAAAGTCCTTTGGGACAATGTGTGAGAGAGAATCCTCTAGATTGACATAACCTAAATATACAGACCTAGAAAGGAGATTCCATGACAAAAACCTCCTCTGGTTTGTTTGTGCTTTCAGGCTTGAACAAGAGGCAGGATGATAGTGGTGTCCTGAGCAATCAAAGAAGGGAGTGCTTCAGGGGGAAGATTTAAGCTGTAGCTGTGCAGAGCTGTCAGGAAAACATCCAAAAGTTATCAGAGCTAGAGGCTGACATTTTAGACTAAATGGAAAAGTGGGAGAAGAGAGTAAGAGCTCTGAACTGTCAGCATCGATGTGATTGCAGAGCAGGAACGGATGGTGTCACTGAGAAAGGGAAGAAACCAAAGTGGGGGTGAAAATAAAATTTAAAAAATGAGGGGCTGGAGGAACGAAGCCGAAGGACAGGCTGGAAAAGTGATTAGAGAAATCATAATAAAATTATAGGAGGTGATAGTCTCAGGAACCAAGGGAACATCAGATTTTCAGGCAGGTGATTTAATGGATCAAAAGCAAGGAAGGATGTGGGGAAGCGATTTCAGTGAAAGAAAATCTTGGCAGGGATCGTAGAGCTTTGAGGTGAAAGGAGTAAGGAGAGGGGTGGTGCTTGCACAGGCAGGTGGGGTAACAGGGAGGATCAGGAGATTATTGTGAGAGACAAACCAGCCTTTCATAGACACAAAAATAACAAAGGAAAAAGATTCATAATTAAAGCTGAGCTAACTAGTTTTTGTACATCGTTTACTCAGGAAAGACAATGTGTACTAAAGGCAGTAACATTCATTATGTCTGTCAATATAATGTCAAATATACAAGCTTTCCTTCAGGTGTGCACATAAATCACCAAATCCTGCCTTTATTTACAGGCTGTTGGTGAAGCAGCTCACTGGCTGCTCAGATTGGTGGGATATTTATAAATTTGTGCTGACAGATTTCTCTGGTGACGTTTCAGCCTGTGCATTGCACAGAAACTCAGCGCCACAGCTGCTGCTCATTCATCATGTACAAGTGTCAGTCCTTAGCAGGAAGCCCTCCGAGGATCTCCTAAGGATTCAGAGCAGCTTCGTCAATCCCAGAGCCAGTGTCAGCTCCTTTGAGCCAGGGTTAAACAAATGCCCTTTAATGACACTAAGCTTCATTGGGATCTGGAAATGCTATTTTTCAGGTTGTCTGCGAGATCAGAGTCTCAGATTCTTTCTTTTCACTACCCAGGAGATCAGGTTGTTTACGAGAATTTAGTTCTAGCTGAATCCCTAACTCAAATATATCCAGACTTTGGCAGTCATGACCATAAATCTCCTATATGTGAGTCTGGATCCTGATTTTGTGGCCAGACTTTTTCTTTAAGCAGCAGGATAAAAATCCATATGCCAAGCAATTCCAGATTTTGTCCTATTTGGAAATCTCAGTTAAACTTCTCACTTCAGTGAGCCCCATCCATCAGCACCTCTATGGATTTCTTACACTTAATTTGCTTTATTTACCTTTGTTTACCAGAACTGAAGAGCTGCAGGGAAGGGGCCAGGCAGGTGTTGGCATCCAGGTGCCTGCATCACTGCAGAATTCAATACTGACATCAATTCAAATGATAACAAGAAAGAAACAGATAAAACAAAACATCCTTATCAATAATTATATTAAATTTGATTTGCCCTAAAAGGCAAACAGATCATTAAAAATTTTAAAGGGCACAAACCAGCATCTAACCATTGACCATTACATTTCTGTGGTGGTGACAAAACTGTCAATACTGCAATCTCACAATCTTTTAAGTGAACAGATACAATAAATATTAGACAAACATTTGCTGAGTGAGTTTTGATGTGTCATTCTCCTGGCTTTATAGGCTGAGTGTAAGCTACAGCTAATGTTAGATTTGCTCCTAAACTCTCCTTTCTGAATTTCTTTACTGCCTGGGTATTATCAGGAGTGTCCATCTAAAACAGAATTCAAGTGCAACATTCACTTTATTTAATAAAAGCCCCACATATAAGTCTTATACTTCTGTAGTGATATTAATATGATTCACCAGTCCTTTTATTCCCTGGTATATTCACAAACTATAAGGCTCTATTAGAGTGTTATTTTTCAAAAGATATTGTTTGTTTGCTCTTTTCTTGTCAGGGTGTGCAGGGAGGGAGGGGCTGGCATTTCCTTGTGCTCCTGCACAGATGTAACTGATGGAGGTGTCCAAAGGAGGGGAATCAGGTCCTGGCTCAGGATTTATCCCCTCACCACATCTTCCAGAATTGCACCACAAAGGTCTCTGACTGCCCCACATTTCCTCTAGGACATTTCTGCATTCACAAATAATTGCTGCTGGACCCAGATAATTGATATTTAACTATTGGCAATGCTCATGCACTCAATCAGTGATTTGACTGGGGGGGGAAAAAAAAAACCCCAAACAGTTGAGAGATCCTGTGATTTGCATAGCAAAACTCACCCCCATCTCGTGTCCTTTAGGTCTGTAAGAATTCCTGCCATTTGAAGCTGTCCTACCGAGTTGCCACGGCAACGAGAAGAAGGAAAAACCCGTCAGATCTGAAGATTGCAGTTTACAATTACTGTTCTTCACTCCTCGGCCTCAGTTGCTCCAGTTTAGTTTGCAATCTCACTCAATCTGTCCGACTGTACCTTGGTGTTCGACAGCCTCCACCCCTCTGCCCTTTGTCCCTGGATTCCTCCTGCAGGACACAAGGTTTACTCCAAATTTTCTCTGAATGTTAAAAGACCATGACATCCAAACCCGACCTTGGGGGAGCAGAAAAAAAAAACAAATCAAAACAGATTGACTCCATTTTTTTCTATCTGTTGACTTGTTGCTATTCAACTGTTCAGAAAATATTTTGTCTGTGGGTTAGTATTTGTATATGTATGAGTGTATGTATATATATATATATATATATTTATATAGAGAGAAGAGTTATACCACAGGTTTAGCTTTTATACCATGTTCATCTGGAGCGTGAGAGGGGAGGGAGCAGAAAACCAGAGCCACAGATGAATTGTAGCTGTTCCAGCATGGCTAAACCTGCTGTGTTTGCTGTCTAGAGCGTGGCCAGGAGGAGCGAGCCTGTGGCCACCCCACCCCACCCCGGGCTCTGCCGTGGCCCTTCTCGTACCTCAGGTTCAGCAAACAAGAAATGCCAGTCCCTGGGGCTTGTTCCTGATCTGAACTGCTCTGCTGAGCCCCAGAGGGAGCTGAGGATGCAGGAGGAGCAGCCAGGTGTGAGCCAAGCACAGCCTGGTTTGAGGGGCTGAAGGCTGGAAGGTTCTCTGGGGCAGGTGGCAGGATGTTTTTATCAGCTCTGCAGGTGAGAAGCCAACAGAGCCTCGGTGTTTGCCAGAGCGCTGATCTCAGGCTCTGTGCCAGGAGCAGCACAGGTGCCCTGTTCTATAAATACCCTCACAAACACACAAACCCATCGTTTTGGAGATATATATATATATATACATACATACACACGTACACAGTTTCCAGTTAAGAGTAACAAGAGCATTTCTTTGTGTGTGTAAACTTACCACACCTGTTTGCAGACATGGGAAAAAAGGGTGTTTGTTCTCTATGAATATGGATCCTTTTTTATTCTGTGAGCATGTAAGGTCAAAAAAAAAAAAATTCCTTCTAACTGTATGAAGATGATCATCTTGTTAATAAACTGTAAATGATCCATCAAAGCTCACACCAAATTTTTATAAAATCAACACAAAAAGTATACTAGTGACAGACTGTGGCTTTTATTAGAGCTTGCCAGTAACTAGGGTAAGGTAAGTGTCTTAGACTATTTTAATAAACTTGCTTATTTAAAGTTTAAACAAGAAAGCTTCCTTATGCAATAGAACTTTGCAGCTGCATTCTTTAGTTAGCATTTTTACAGTACTTATGGGTCATACTCAATGACATCCTTACTACAGTGAGATTATGAGCATATCTTCCACACCACGTCTATGTTTCGCAATAGTAAAGATTTTTGGAAACGTTAAAAATAAGTCCAGACATATATTTAGTTTCCCATAATGCTACACTAGATATTAAATGTGTGTTGGTGGTTAAAATTTGCTGTACAATAGCTTTTCTCCGACTACCTGTATTGTACCAAATATGAAACAGGTTTTTTTTTTATCTTTCTCCCATTTTTTTTTTAATCAAAAGGAGTAATAACAACAGCGACAGAGGAAAAATGAGTTTGTGTTGTGAGCTTTCCTAGCGTTGTAGATTTCTTGATAAGATATGAGCTGCCTTCAGAGCAGTTTTTCTCTTCCAGCTTAACTCCTGCAGTCCTGACCAAGTGAAATCCCCCCCTGGTCCCTGCAGGAGCCTCTGGGTCACCAAAGAGGCACTTCAGGGTCAGTGGGAGCTGGTCAAGGACAGCAGGAGTGGCTTTGGCAGCTTCAGGCATCCCAGGTGGGAAGTGCCTGATCCCAAACATTGACATGGGCACTCTTCATGTCCTCTCTCCCTGCCCATGCCTTCTACTGAGCCCACGCTGCTGCTTTGCCATCAACGATCACGTCTTTTTTATTAAAAAAATTATATATTCTTTTCAATGAAATTTTTCCAAAAGGAACGATTCTAAACTCCTGTACGGCACCTCTGGAATTCCAACGTGTATGTTCAATGAATGCACCCAAAGATATTCTGCACCCTGTGCTTTGAGCTACAAAACCTCTATCTTGAATAAAAGAAATTATATTACCCTCCCCCACAAATACTCTTTTCTACTTGCTTTTTTCCTCTCTCCACCGAGCCAAACTCACCTCTGGAAAGACCCCCCTTGACTCTGGTGTCAACAAATGCCAGAAAAATCTGCCCCTCCCTGCTTTAAACCAAGGCTCACTGAGCACTTGGTGGATCATTCCAAGGGCAGCCAAAATGAGAAACGAAGAGAAAACTCTTCTGCCTGGAGCTAGAACAGGGGGAAGACTCCTCCTACCACCCTGTGCCCAAGGATAAGATCTTTCTTCTTGGATCCACTGAAAAATTTTGATGTGCATCGAGGTCAGAGTCTGGCTGAAGCTCTGACCCATGGTGCATCCAAGCCTCCATTCCTATTTTCCCTTTATTTCTGTTCCCACATTAAAGCAGGAATAAAAATAATAATAAAGCCTTTCCCAAGCGTACCCAAGCACTCCAGGAGAAGATGAAGCTGCCATGTCAATGCTTCTCCCCATTTGACACAGACTGTGGCACGTTCGTGGTGTGACACAAGTGAGGAACCGCAGCAAAATCTGAATTTTCCTACCTGAATAGAGAGTGTCACCTCTGGCTCAAAAAACCAATGTCCATTTCCTGAAACAATGGAGCAACAATGATTTACCCTATGATTACCAGTGATTTAATTCTACAATACAATGAAAAAGGAGAAAACTTACAAAATTGCTTGCATCATTTTCTAATAGTTGATTATGTTTAACATTTGTTCAGCCAAGTTTGCTGGTTTTATAGCATACCCCTTATTCCTACCCAGCTATTTCAGTCCCACCAACATTTATTTCAGTCTGTGTTTGCAGATATATAAATTCTGTCTAGACCTGGAAAGGCAGTGAACTTGTTATCATTTTGTAACATGCACAAAACTTTTTATTTGTAAAAGTCATTTCACTTGAAAAGACTATGTGTTGCTGAAACAAAAATTGGGAATAACAATCAGTGAGAGGGGTTTATTAGCAAAGGAAAATTCTCATTTTTGGTGTGGTTGCTAATTGAACCCTGCTCTGTGCTCCTCCTGTGTGCTTTTCCAAGATGCCTGTGTGCATTTATTAATGTCCATTTTGTTCAGTAGCTGTAGGTCTGAAGAGTAATTAAAAGAGGGAAATGAGGTGAATTTCCTGCTGGGTGTGGAGGAAAATTAGGTAAGGATGGAGCACTGGTAACTCCCTGAGCCCTGTTCTCATCGTGTTTACACTGCTGGAAATCAAACAGCAGCTCCATCACCCAAACTGAGATCCAACTAATCATATTTAGGTGAAATTTTACCTCCCCACATACTGCTTTTTTATTTTTTTCTGGTTGGCTGTGAAGAGTAAAGCTGCAGTATTTGTCACAGGATTGCTGAGTGCTTACACATTATCAGAAATCTGGGGTTTGTGACATCCAGCCACCCACAGGTGACTCCTGCCCTTCCCTGACCATCTGAAGGTGTCTCTAATGCTCCCAGAGTAATTTGGTTTAATTTTTATTTGAAATGGATGGGGTCAGATAATTTGTCCTGTTTTCTTACATACTTGTTTTTTGGATCACTATAATACAAACCTTATTAAATTATGGACTTACAAGAAGTTTGTAGGGCCCTATCTTAAATGCCTTATCACTACAAAAAGACGTCTATGATATTGACAACTTTTGTCTTTCCTTTGCAAAGGCTTCTTGTCTGAAATACTGAGAAGCTGCCAATTTTCTTCTCAAATGTTGCTAATTCACTTGGAGCAGAATTCTGTACACAAATAATTTTACATCACTTGGTCCAAAGGCTAAGTTACTTTCAGAATAGGTTTAAAAATGTCTTATTTAATCAAAAGAAAAAATATAATTATACTAAAGTCACATTGACTCGAGAACACCAAGTCTAAAGCAAAACTCAGCTCCTGTCTTACCTTTATTGCATCTCCAGAAAACTCTGTTGTCTGAGAGATCCAGTCCAATGCTAACACAAAGAAAAACAAAACAGCAATTATTTTCTTTCAGTTAACTCTGTGCTCTATAATCCTGAAGAAGTAACATGCAGTGCACATTAGTAATTATCATTATAACTATTCTCTTTAAAGCACATAGAGCTGAGTCTTTCCTGCACAAAGCCCATAACCCACTGGCTGCCCTGCTCTCCTGCCTCACTCACTCCCCAGGAGCTGCTCTGGGTTTGTCCCTGTGGGATGGATGTGCTCCCCACCCTCCCTGGAAAGGTTCCAGTTGCACAACTGCTATGTGTGTATATATGTAGATATATAGAGATATACACATATAAATATATATATAATATATATGCAGGTGGAAGGAGGTTGATACAACACAGGGACTTGGAATGAGCAGTTTAATTCCCTCAATTAAGGATGAATTCATGAGATAAGGGACAGCATGTACTGGCAGTCTGATTTAAAGCAAATAAAAAAGGCAAAAGCCCACACACTAAGCCCTAGGCTTATCTCAACTCTCCTGTTGTATTTCTGCTACCTTGAGCTGTCCCCTCGGACCACAATTACATCATTTGAAGATATGCATCACTGTTTACCGACTCATTTTTAGTTGTCTGTGGATCAGCAGGTCACCAGTGGTGGAAAGGGAAGGGTTAAGAGGCAGAATTCCTCATTCCTGAGCTTTCAGTGGGACAGCTGCTCGGGAAAGTTTCATCCAGCCTTGAACATTCCACTCCTCCTCTGCATCAGCAAGTGACTGCACCCCGTAATTTGGGGTGAAATGAATGTAGTCTAGAGCCAGGCTGGGTGTTTGGAGGTGCACACACGCCCTGCCTGGGACTGGAGCTGAGGAATAAATCCGTGTCTGGGGCACTGTGATGGGGAACTCAGCACAAACAAATTGTGTTGTTGCTGCCATTTCATCCAGAACCCTCCTGTAAAACCACATCTACCCCATAACAACCTCTGTCCCTTTAAGTTACCATCAAGGTTAATTCTTTTTATGTTTCTTTTTTTTCTTTTTTAATAGTCCAAGCAAGGAGGAAAATATTTTGTTTGACTTTCAAGACGCTTTATTCAGCTGCTTTTCCAGTTAATCATTCCTTTGGGCCCTAGTTGCTGAATCGCTTGCTGTTTCTGAGGTGTAAATAAACGTTTTGATTTATGACGTGGTTGCAAAGAAACTTGTAATTTATTTGTGAAATGCTCAAATAAAGGATGTATGGGCTTTTATCTTCTGTCTGCACGTAGACCTCGCCACAGGAACGGGGAGCCACAAACTGACCTCCAGATTGGTAAAAGAATGGAAGTGCTAAACATCAGAAAGCCCAGGATATTTGCAGTGAAGGGGATAAATTGCAGCCATGATGTGGTTTGAGAATGAGAATCGGGAACTTAGAGAGGTAAATAGAATCATAGAGAATGGTTTGGGTTGGGAGGGACCTTAAAAAACATCTTTTGAATGATCTAAATATCAGGGATATTCCTTCCAACCACCAGACCAGGCTGCTCAGAACCCCATCCAGCCTGGCCTTGGACACTCCAGGGATGGTTTGACCACACAAAAATAACATCTGCACACACAAGAGAGCAGCAGCTGAATATTCAGGTGACAACAACCATTCGCTGTCTAAAGCCCCATTTCCATTAAAGAGGTTGCCTTGAGCCAAACCCAAACCAGATATCCCCAGGCTGGACTGCAGCCAGGAGCTCTCACGGATTTCTCTGCATTTCCTTTGTGCCTCACCTGGTCCCCTTCCCCACCCACCACCATCAGTTCAGCTTAGACAGAGCAGCCAGGCACCAGAAGTGCACAAACCACCCAGAAAAAGGCTGAACAAATGCCTCTTTACCAGGGAATTCTCATCCCAGCCTAAAGCTGAAGCCTGCTGTCTCCCTGAAATTCCTGTGGGTTGTATTTTAGATCTTCTAGGAAGTTATCTAAAGTGACAGAGCCACACAAAGATAGAATATCTCTTAAAATATCCTTTTAATACCTGTGAGAATAGAGGAAGCTGGGGAGGGAGGGCAGCAGTTAAAGGAAACATTTTGAGTACAGGAGCTTTCTGTCACCGAGACCCACCTCCAGCTCCTGCCTATTGTTGATGCTTTATCAGGCTTTGAATCTAAAGGGGTTTTTTCATGTGGTCCATAATAAGTAGAGGATGAAAGAGCCTACATGAAGCTTGTGGTGTAATGAGCAAAAGGTCATTCATTACCTGAAAGCCACAGCAAACATGTGTCACCTCCTTTGGTCTCAGCTGAGATCTCTGTCCTAAGCTAATGCTGTGCCTTCTACCTTGAGAGAAGGTTTGAAAGAGCACAAAGTTAAATCATAAGCAATGAGGCATTAACAGAGAGAGAATGCTGAATGGTTTTCAGCTGGGGGAAGTTTTGTGTTGCCCTTTCAACCTTCCCGTGTCTCATCTCACACCTCCCTGTCTGGACTGCAGACTGCTGTTAGTTGGTACCTTTGCACAGTTCAGCCCAGTTATGGTTTTCCTCCAGCAGCAGTAAATCAGAACAATCCCTCTGCCTTCAGCACAAGCTTCTTACCTGCAGAAACAAAGCAAGGGTCACTGCTCCTGCTGCGAAGCTTTTGGGAGGCTGAACCTCCTCGCCTTTAGCCGGACTCTGCTCATCCTCCTGCCAGTGCCTGCTGACCTTTCACTGCTCCCGTGGCTGCTGCAGGGAGTGACTCCAGCCCAGCCCAGGGTCTGTGAGCACAGCTCACTCCTCTCATTCCCAGCTTACTGCTCCATGTCCAGCTGTGGGATATCCCCACCAGCTCCGTGCCTGGATGCACTTTCCAAGACAGGCTGCCCAAAACAAGAAAAAGTGTTTAGACTCTTTGATTACTGCCAGGGATGCTGAAAACTCAGAAAGCAAAGCATAGCTGGACAGTTGTAATTAAGTGTGTCATGTAATTGAAAGCAGCAATTATAACCTGCCGTGGGGTTGCAGTGTGCAGTATTGGCTCGGCTGGCACCAAGGGAAATAGCCTTTGGTGGGATTTATGCACCTGGTTCCCACTGGAATCACTAAAACCCTAAAAGCCTAAGAGCTGAACGACTCCTCCCCCAACTGATAGAATAATTATATAACTATAAAGCACTTCCTTTGGCTTTAAGTCATCATGAGCTAATACACGCACTAAATTTCTTCCTGCATCTCCAAGGTAACTTAATTGGCATCATGCTTCATACTGAGCTAAACCAGCAAAACCTCCAGAGAACAGGGGCCCCAATTAACAGATTCCCAGCCTTTCATACCCTTGATTGCTGAAAAGAAAAAGAACAACATGAGGGATGTGTAATTCATGTGGAGATCACAGAGAATGTGACAGAGTCCGTAGATAAAGCACAGGAGAAACCATATATTGCAGTAATTAGAAAAACCGTTGTTACAAGAGTGTCTGAAGGAAAGATTTAAACTTTTTGTGCCATTAAACTCACATGTACAAGCTGTGACCATTACCTGCATCATGTTAGATCCACCCTGGTGCTGGAGAGCCCAGTCACAGTGCCTGGCAAGTTCTGCCACTGTGACAAATGCCAGAAACTGCGTTCATCCACGAGGAAATGGCTTGGCCTTGGATCCTGCATGGAGAAGTCAAAGCAGAAATGGCTCTGGAGAGGAATCCTTTGTGCTGAGAAGCCCTCTGTACCCTCAGGCCTGCTCAAACCACACCAGGTGGAGATTCTGCAAGGGCAGAGGTGTGACAGCAAAGAGCCACAGTGCAGGGACACCTCACCCCAGAACCTGAGCCAGGCACTGGGCAGAGAGCTGGAGCCTTCCCAGAGACCCAGCTTGTGCCAGTCAGCAGCGGTACAGGGTGATTACACACCCAGGAAATGGAACAACATTGCTTGTGGGAGGTTTTTACCCTTTGGTTGGACTTTTCCCCCTCTGTCTCAGCTCTGGTTTCTGTGCACTGATGTCCTGCCATCGCTGCTGTCCTTGGCACCTTGTGGAAGAACCACCAGGGCTCTCTCTCTCACCAGTTCTGTGATAAATCTACTTCCAACTGCAGTGTCTGCCTTCCCTCACACCTGGGGAGCTCAGCCCTTCCTCACACTCCCAATTCCCTTTTCCTGGCACTCTTCTGGTTCTCCCAGTACCTGAAGCAAAAGTAAATGGGTGCTGTGGTCACATCTCTTCTGGCCTTCAGGGGATGCAATCCAAGGCTTGTTTTCCTCAGCTCCTCCTTCAATTTCAGGCAAAGTCCTCTTGCCTCTGCAGCTCTTCTTCCTGTTTAAGCAAAATAAGTGAGGGAGGCATTGTGAGCGGTTAAGTGAAGGTATAGCTCATTTAAAACAGAGATAAATAATTAGGTGTACTAGATTCATTGTTCCAATCAAAGTAATAAAATATATATACATAAAAATATAAGCTGTTAAGGTGATGAGCTTCATTATTACACGCACACACTAAATAATAGGCTATTTTTAATTGCTTATTAAACAGTGAATGCTCATTAAAACCTCGGTTCATTGGGAAAAAAAATAACATGCAATTAAATTATAGTACAGACTAATTAATATGGGAATTGAGGCAATTCTAATACCTTTAAAGAGGTGGACGTGGGAATAGTTGGCAGCATGGATTTGTACCAGTCATCTGGATTGGCCTGGCAGATGGATTTCCTTCTTCTTGAGGATTTTGAGAAGGTTCTATTTTTTGGTTTCAGTTTCAAAGGACATAGAGGGGAGTGAAATGGGAATTTTTTTCTGTGGGTTTTCACACGGTCTGGATAATAGATAAAAGATGATGGATTAATCTACTTACCCCATAAAACACCTTTTCCTTTGTTTCTGCACAGACCCTCTCTTGGCACTCTGCATCATCCCTTTTAACAAATAACATTTGAAATTACCTTGATTTGACAACAGAATCCTCAGCCTGCTCAGCTCCTCAGCCATGGAGCATTTTTCCCTTTAGGAGATCCCTGTAAGTTGGTTTTTCCCAAAGGCTGCTGTGCCATGAGCCATTGTTAAAAGGTGCCCAATTTCCTGTGAGCCAGAAGACATTCACCAGGTATAAACCAGATCTTCAGGGGAAGGATTTTGCATTTCTCATAGCTGAAATGAAAGAAGAATGCTATCTTTCTAAGGCAAAAACCACTGAAGGAGCCTGATCTGAGTCTTTTTGTTTGTTTGTTTGCATTTTTAAGCCTTCAATCCAATAGTTTTCCTGTTTAGAAGCAGGAGTCAAGACAGTGAAATTTGCCCCTCATTTCTGATAGCATGGACATCTCACAGAGAAGTAAATAGCAGAGGTTAACTAAGAACACTTGTTTACACCCAAACCCAGGATGGGTTTCAGACTAAAAGCCAAAGTAGAGTTTGGTGCTGGTGCTCCCCGCTGGAAGTCTGAGCCTTGTGGTGCGATTTGGTGGGAACCTCACAAAGCAGCCAGCTCTGATTTCTGCCCTGGGCAGGTCAGTCTTTCATTACATAACACAACTTGAATATTTGCTGCTCCCACCTGCACTAAAGATGTTCTCAGCACCTGAAGCTTGGCTGGCTTTGGTTTTGGGAGTCCTTTTGAGTCTCACTTTACACCTGAGCACATTGATACAGCTGGAGCATTTACACCAGAGCACAAGACATAAAACCAGCTCAGCTTTGATGCTGGAGCTCTTCCCCCAGTTTGCAGAGCTGTAAATCACTCTGCAGGATGGCACACTCTGTTCTGACGTGGGAGCACTGCAGTTTTAGCTGTGGTGAGGAGCAAAACCCATTCACAGGCGCTCATTCAAGAGAGGTGTCGCTGGCCTAACACAGTGCCTGCTTCCAATCCCTCCCTTGCATTTCATTCTGTCGATTCTCTGTTAATAAATAAATAAAATACCCTTTGGTTTAGGGCTGGGAGAGATGAAAGAATTCTTTTTTTCCATGTCAACGCCGTGCAGCGCTGATGGAGTCTGGCAACAGCTGAATCCTGGCTCAGGCTCCTGCTCTGTTTTCCTTATTAACATTTTGCTTGGCTGTCCCTGCCAAAGTCCCCTGGACACCTCTGAACTCTGAGAATTGTTGCAAATACCGCAAGGTCCAAGTGTGAAATGAACTGCGTGGAGCCCCCTGGGAACCTGTTAACAGTGAATTACCAATAACCTCGGGTGCACAGCAAACAACAGGCACCTGTTCAATGGGAAACGTGTTCTTAAATTGACACCCAATTATCGCCGCATATTTTAGCATAATTTTTGCACCTTATCTAGGACCTACCAT